GATAGAAGGTGAACATGTAAAAAATCAATTCTATTTTTTCTTTTTTTAAGTTATTTTATTTATTATCATTATTACCACCCTTTAATTTGACCAAAGAGAGAAAAAGCAAGCCACCAGGTCCAAGACTTGAACCGTGGTCAGCCAAGTGGGAGACCAGTGCCTGAACCACCACACCACCCACCAGTTCCATATTTTTCTGTTTTTTCTTTTCCTTTTTTAGAGGTTTTTGTTGGTTGGTTAGGTTATTTTGTTGTTATTGTTTTGTTTTGCTTTTTGCCTTAGGCTTCTGTACTCAGAAGAGAGACCCAGTGAGAGGGAAAGTGAGAAATCACCCCCTAGGGGGGATGGCCAAGTTGTAATCCCTCTCCTCCATTCTCCTCCCAGGACCTTGGGCACGCACGCACACATGCCCAGCGTGATTTCTGTCCCTTTGCTTTTCGCCTTAGGCTTCTGTACTCAGAAGAGAGACAGACCCAGTGAGAGGGAAAGTGAGAAATCACCCCCTAGGGGGGATGGCCAAGTTGTAATCCCTCTCCTCCATTCTCCTCCCAGGACCTTGGGCACGCACGCACACATGCCCAGCGTGATTTCTGTCCCACCTTGAATCACGATTGGCCATGTGGGTGGGAGTGGAGCACCATAACCTGTATGTCATCCCCTGGTCCCAGTCAGTTGTATTTTTATATATTGCAACTAACATTTGAAATAGGAAATATATTTTTAAATACCAGTTACAAAAATATTTTTAAGTATCAACCAAGTTGGAGTAAGCCAAGAAAATGTGTATAAGACCTCTACACAGAAAATCATAGAACATTATTTAAAGAAAAAAAATTCAGACCTAAATAAATGTTGGAATCCACTCTACTCATTAATTAAATTAAATATTTTAAGACATCAGCACCCCCAAACTGACCCCTAGAGTCAGTGCCTCCTAATCAGTATCCCAGCAGGTATTCTGTAAAACTTGACAAGCCATTCCTAAAATTTATGTCAAAAATGCAAAAGGCCAAGAATGTTAAAATTGGTCTTGAAGAACAACAAAGTGAAGGGGCATACACTACCAGGTAGAAGAACTTACTATAGCATCTATAGTAATTAAGGTAGTGTGATATTGGGGCCAGTAGGTGGCATGTTGGTTAAGGTTCTATACTCCCACATGGCTAACCATGGTTCAAATCCCAGACTGGTCGCTTAGAAACCATGCCATGTGTGAGTGTATGCATGCCAAAAATCCAGAGAGGAGAATGGAGAAGGGATTGTGGCATGGGGGGTGGAGGGAATGATTTCTCACTTTCCCTCTCTCTGTCTCTGTCCAGTAAACACATGTGCCCTAGGGCAAAAATTCAAAAAAAACATAGTGTGATATGAGCACAGAGGGAGATCATAGACCAGTGAGACAGAATAAACTCTGAAACTGTACTATCCAAAGCAGTAGCCACTAGCCACATGTGGAAATTCATTAAAATTAAATTTAAAAATTCAGTCCCTCAGATGCACCCATGACATTTCATGTGCCAGGCTAGTGGCTGTGGCAGCGGACAGCACAGATTCAGAATATCCCTTTGCTGTGGAAAGTTCTACTGGATAGTGCTGTCCTAAAAACAGCTCACCCAGATGGAAATGTGGTTTTTGATAAAAATGTCCTGTAAGTGAGAAGGAAAGGGACCATCTCTCTCATAAATGGTATTTGGTAAGATGCCATATATATATAAATATGGGTGTGTGTGTGTGTATTTAAACAAATATAGATTTCTATCTCACTTAAGAAACGTATTTGGTGAGATGCCGTATATATATAAATATAGGTGTGTGGTGTGTGTATTTAAACAAATATAGATTTCTATCTCACTTAAGAAACAAAAATCAATCCCAATAAATATGAAAGCAAAAGGAATTTGTGGAACGTTCATAAAATGAAATGCTCTGTAGCAATGACAATGAACCAATACTGGAAATAGGCTGAATCCCAACCATATAGATGAATCTTATAAACAGTATGTTGATATACAATGCTCAGTGATGCTGAGGCCATATGGGAAGGTCCTGGGTTCAGGGCCTGAGAACTCACTGTGTGCGCTGTATTCACATGCACATGCCCATGATCCTGGCTGGCTGGGACCAGAGATATGGTCATAGTATGAAGACCCTGTTGGGGGTGCTCCTCTTTCTCTCTCTCTCCCGTCCCCCAACCCCCATACAATAAATAAATATGTAAACTTTTGACCAAAACCTTAATGCCCATCTACAGGGGACTGCATAAATACGTGGTATTTTTGTATAGGGAAGATCAGAGTTAAAAGGTGTATATGCACATGCATAATCACAGAGCTCTATAAACCTAGTAGTGAATGATAAAGCAAGTTGCGGAATATGCAGAGCGTCATGCACGCACAGATATGCTTTTACAGGCTAACACACGATAAAGCAAGTTGCGGAATATGCAGAGCATCACACACGCACAGATATGCTTTTACAGGCTAACACAGTACTACACATTACTTCCTGGCACATATATGTGCCACATATGCATATGTTACTGTTATTTAAAATGGCTGGAGGATGCCCTGAAGTCATGATAGCAACATCTGGGGCAGTGGATGAAGGGTCTGGAGTTGAACATGGATTCAAAGGAGACTTCAATTTCATCTTTATTGTCCTTTTTCTCTTTTTCCTTTTCCTTTTTTTTTTTTTAAATAAGCAATATGACTAAATGTTAATGTCTGTTCATTCTGGCTGATATAGCTCAGAGTGTTAGTTGTATTAATCTTTGGAATTTTTCCTTTAAGTTCTCAAAATGAGAAACATAAAGTCAGAATAACACCTCTCTTTGTTTAGTCTTAGATTTATTTATTGTTTAGATATTTTATGTTCCTGCTTGTTTTAAGGGGGATAAAAGGTATACAAGTATAAATATAGCTGAAATAGCTAAATCTTTTTTTTGTTTGTTTACATTCAGAAAATATGCTTGTTTTATTTAACATTCTTTGGTATCAAAACACAGCCCTCATAACACTTGTGAGGAGTTCACAGTTTTACCAGTTTGTGTATCAAGAACTTCCCGTGATAGACTCCCGTGATAGACTCCCGGTTTGTATTGGAGCCAGAATATCCATATGCAAACAGAGAGGCAAGAAGTCAAAAGATACTCCTCTTTGGTGTGAAAGATTTGTTGACTTTGCATGACTGTTAGGACTGAAACTCGGAAAGCTCCCATGTTTATTGGCTCAGTCTGCAGGATTTCCCTGCAGGGTTATTTCCAAAAGGCTGACAATGGGACTTCCTGCCTTTGCCACTATGACAGTGCTTCCTGCATCAGACCCCGCATTAAAACCCTGAGGAGCACTGAAGTCTTGGTGTGGCCGGGAGCAGAGCATTTTTTTTTAAGCTTTTTATTAGGTTGTTGGAAAAGTCAGGACACAGTTTTTCTTTCCATTTTTTATTTTAGAATTATTTATTTAATTTTATTTATTATTGTTATATTTAAATTTGCTATGGGGCATGTATACTCACCAGAGACAGGGGGTCAGGGGGAGTGAGAAAGCAAACCACCGGGTCCAGAACTTGAACTATGGTCAGCCATGTGGGAGTCCAGTGCCTTAACCACCACACCATCTGCTGGCCTGCATGACATAGTTTTTCTATGGAAAAATGCGTCATGACTTTTCTGACAACCCAATGTAACAAGAAGGCTGACAGATGAGTTAGCCACCCAATGGCGTCTGTTCTTTCACAGACATATCGCACACGATGGCAGTGACGGGCTGGCAGTTTAGCAACCTTTTGGAGTGCTCCCAAGATGATTGCCATAACCATATTTGGGAAGTTAACAGATCATTGTGGACTCAAAGCAGACTAAAGGTTATGCAGCTAGGCCTAGGTTGAGGCTTTTAAATGTGCACGGGTAAGAGTGAGGTAGGCCACCTCTATACTGTGCCATCATGGATTCACCAGTGTCTTCAGCTACAGTAGACCTCTCTCTGCACCTTACCCACTCTCCCTGCAAGCAGGCAAAGGAGGGAGTTATCCAGAAGATGGAACAGAATGAGCTCAGCCCAGATCATTTGTCTGTCTACTCTTGGAGTCAGGCTGTCCACTGAATTTATGTATGCAGTCTGGTCTCCACTGGCTGTGTGCTCTGAAGGAGCCTGGTGGTTGTCCAGACAGATCGGTAATGGTGGCTAAGACTCAAAGTCAAGGGTCAGCTATTAGCAAGGTCTCTCTGCCACAGGTCTGCAGCCATGTTCTCTCCAATTGACTTTGTCAGTAAGAAAAGCAATAGTTTTAGTTCCATCTGTCTGGTCTCTACCTCTTAATTGGTTCCAAACTCAAGAGGTACATATTAAAAATTACTCCCTTCAAAATTAAAGTTATCCATGATAGCGACCAATAATTCATATACCAGCTTTGTTATATGCACAGTTATCCTATCTGAGTAGTTAACTGAACATTGCTCACTTACTGTTAGACTACAGGAAAGTGGTTTAAAAATAAATATACATGCTATTTAATATGGCACGTGTGAACTCATAACTTGAGGTTGACTCCATTAAAATACACATTTTATCATTGTACTATCTACATAGGTATAAATATACATGTGCATTGCATAAAATGCATTTAATTTAAACTTTAATCAGCAAAACAAAACCAAAAAACACATATAAAAACAAAACAAAAGCAATGGTCTCACTCTGCTGTAACAGAACACCGTTCTGCATTGGCCAGCTGTGCGCTGGCAAAACATGGCGATTTTAAGGATGAATTAGTGTTCTAATCTCTCTGGGATTTCCTTTATATTTGTGGTAGTTTATGACTGACATTTAATGTAACTGTAGCTTTCTGTTTATATTTAATAAAAGATTCATTTCTGTGGCAGGGTACATATTTGCACTCCAGTGTTGAATAAAAGCTACTGTTCTGCAAGGATATAAAATGCTGATTTATAACGACACGTTCCAATAACAGCGATCTAATTCTTCCAAACTATTTCTTCTCAGGTCCTGGGAACAGCATGACTCCAGCAAAGGATAATTCTCTTCCAGAATATTCAGCCTTTAACACATCTGTCCATGCTGCAATTCGACATGGAAATTGGAAGCTGCTCACTGGCAACCCAGGTAGAAGGCTCAGCTAAGCGAGGGGGTCACTTTTCAAGGGTCTGCTGTATCCTCTGGGCGCTCTCCAGTCTAGCCATACTCCTGGGGTACTAGTCCTTTGGCCATTTTCCTGGGAAAGAGGACAGTACCACTCTTCAAACTACTTCCCATCTCTTCCTGCTTGACTCCCAAGGCTCCTAAGCCCCACCACCTCCCTCACTTTAGTTAGACACCTGGTATGTTTACTTGCCTTTCGAAGTATTTATGATCGCACTTGATATATGTTATAAAAGACAACTGTTGATTCAGAGTTTTTTTTTTTTTTCTTTTTCTTTTTTTCTACTTTTAAGACTCAGCCTGTTCCCAGTTACACAACTTCCATTGTTGTCATGGCTCAAGTAGGCTTTCCCACCAGAACACCCAGGAAAAGTTTACCAAATAACAACTGCTTTTTGCAAAGTATATCTCCAGAACTGCTGAATGAAGATAAATGGTTTAATCTGCTGGTCCTGAACCAAAAAATAATTTAAAATATTAGCCTTAACTGTGGCTGGGGGCAGCTCTAGGTCACAGTGGGGGGGCGGGCAGCCTGATTGCACGTGGCTGACCATGTGGTTCAAGTCCCAGATCAGTAGCTTGAAAAACATGCCGGGTATATGTGTATGCATGCCCAAAATCCCAAAAAGAAGGAGGAATGGAGGAGAAGGGAGTTCCACATGGCCATACCCACTGGGGGACTGCTGTCTTACTCTCCTTCCTTCTGTCTCTGTCTCTCCCTAGCAAGTGCATGCACTCTGACAAAAATTTTAAAAAGAAGAAAAATAAAGTGCCTGGTATATAGAGCACATCACAATATATGGAAATCAAATTTAAAATATTAATTTTTTGTTGCATATTAAACACCAATATCTTACAAATTGACTTGCATTTCCCTGACATAAGTTTGGGGGTATTTTGGGGGGGTAGGGGTCTTCCCATGTCTTCTTCAAGCCTCATTGATTGTCCTTCAGTGTTCTCTGAGCACTTTAAAGCCTTTTTCTCTCCCTCTGTCCAGCTTCCCGATACTTTCCCAGTTGCTCTTCTTTTCCCTTAAAACACTTGAGCTATTGATCCTGTCCCTCAGACTAGAACCTAGGCTTCCTGTGCAGTCCCCAGATTGAAGCCCTGCTAAGCACATAGTCCAATACTCCTGTCTAAAGAGAAAGAAAAAGCCCCTGTGGAGCTTTAAAGTTAGTTTCTTTAATCTGATCAAGTTTTCTGGCCAGTTTCTTTAAAAGGCAAACAGAGTTATTCTCCTCGCATACTGAAGACAAAGTGAGAGGACTGTCTTCAGTTTGGGAAACTTTTAAGACTCAGCCTGTTCCCAGTTACACAACTTCCATTGTTGTCATGGCTCAAGTAGGCTTTCCCACCAGAACACCCAGGAAAAGTTTACCAAATAACAACTGCTTTTTGCAAAGTATATCTCCAGAACTGCTGAATGAAGATAAATGGTTTAATCTGCTGGTCCTGAACCAAAAAATAATTTAAAATATTAGCCTTAACTGTGGCTGGGGGCAGCTCTAGGTCACAGTGGGGGGGCGGGCAGCCTGATTGCACGTGGCTGACCATGTGGTTCAAGTCCCAGATCAGTAGCTTGAAAAACATGCCGGGTATATGTGTATGCATGCCCAAAATCCCAAAAAGAAGGAGGAATGGAGGAGAAGGGGTTATGGCATGACCATCCCCCATAGGGGGTGCTTTCTCCTCTCTTTTTCTCTGGAAAGCATATGCACTGTCTAGAAAGGAAAAAGTGTTTTAAAAAAGAATTAACTAGAAGAGGTGGGCTAGGGAAGAAAATCAAAGATGCCACTCAGTATTTCATGGAAAAACAAGGATTTCAGATATGTGTGGCCATCAAGTACAACACATAGCTGCTCGCAGAGAATGTCTGCAAACTACACCCTCAACCAGTGGTATTGCTGGGGGAGGCGGATAATTCCCCTGTGCATATTCTCTAAAAGGGATATCTTTCCAATACTTTAGAATGTGTGGTATGATGGTTAACCCTGTGAAGCAGTCAGGCAGTGTTTGTAACAGGACATTGGTGGCCTTTACAGCAAGACCATTCTCCATGTGTAGGGCAGTCCCATGTAGCACCAGACATTGCAGCAGCACTGGCTCATGCCTACTAAATGCCATGAGCACCCGTACCCTCCCGAGTCATTGCAACCACTGAAACATACCCCCATGTACACACTCCCAGATGGCCCTGGTTGTGACACACTGAGACCCGTCTAGTAAAAGCACCAGAAATCAGAGTCTGAGTCAGAACTAGAGACAGAACCAAGAGCCGCATCTTTCTATGTCCACATACACAACCCAGGCAGTCTCACCTCCTGGCTCCCGCCCTGCCTGCGATGCTTCTCCCCAATAAACCTTCTCCTTTCTTTGCCAGGCTGTGGTTACTGGATCCCTCCACCATCTCAATACAGTGTTTCTGAGATACCCTCACCAGACCCACCAACCAAGACCCTCTGGCTGTTTGATATTGATCAGGACCCCGAAGAGAGGCGTGACCTGTCCGGAGAATATCCCCACGTGGTCGCCAAGCTCCTGTCCCGCCTGCAGTTCTACCATAAGCACTCAGTGCCCGTGTACTTCCCCGCACAGGACCCCCGCTGTGATCCCAAGGGCACTGGGGCCTGGGGCCCGTGGATGTAGGAGTCCAGGCAGGCTAGAAACCTTTCTGCTGCAGGTAGGCCCTCAGCTTCCACTCTCCTCTCATTGTTTCTCCCCCGCTGAGTTCACCTGGCCCTTGTCCTGCTCTTCAACCACACTGAGGTGTCTGCCTCCAACCCCTGGAGCACTGAAGGAGCGGAGAAAAGCTGGAGACTCCCGCTGTTGGCCAGGCATGTGGCTAGATCCGAAGGGGGCTGGGTTCATCCCCTTTTCCTCAGCTTGGCATTGCTGGGAACTTGACGAGAGCAGGAGTTCTCCTCGTGTCCTGGAGGCTGGAGCAGCTGGCTCTTCTTGCTCACAAGTCAGACGTTAGATTTCCCTCTGCCAATAGCTGATTTTATTGGAGTGACTCACATTTCTTGTAACAAATGAAGGGCACAGACGCTCGTTAATGGTCCCACTGGCCAGGGGCTCTCCCTGTCTGTGAGAGATCAAGCTAAGGCATTCCGAGTGCATGACCCCTCGGTTCACTCACTCATCTTGTCAGGGAGCGTTAGGCTCCCTCGTTGTTAAGGTCCACATGGCAACGTGCCTGCACCTCCGTGTGGGTTTTTATAATAAGGAAATGTGTTTTTATCTTCATTTTCCCCCAACCATTGCTCATTCTGTCTAGACTTCCTGCCACCCCCAACTCCCCTGTGGCTCTTTCTTGCCTTTCTTTTTGACTCCGATGCTCTGTGCCTAAGGCCACTTGCTCCTCTCCTCTGGGCACCCTGGTTTTTGGAACACTGTGGAGCCATGCCTTCCTTTTGCCCCTAGTGCTGGGGCTGGAGCTGGAGCCTCCCCAGAGAGGGCGGTCGAGTCAGTCCGTGAGCATGCCCCTGCTGGACAGGAAGAGGGCGAGGCAGGGGAGCTCGGGGTTGTGGCATCTGCTTACCGAGGTTTTGCCAAAGTTGCATGGAGTTCATCATCAGGGCTGGGCCTTGTCTCATACCATACTGAGAGCTGCCCTGCTTACTATTCCCAAGCAGCAGGGAGAAACCCAGGCAAGGATAATTCTGCCCCAGGATTTTGCAGCTGGGCGTTGGCCAGCACCTGGGCTTGGGTAGGCACAGAGAGCACACCATGACTCTCCAGCTCCTTGTTTTACTGCTTGGGTCGAGGTGCTGGAGTTGAGGGACAGGACACAGGTTAACCCTTCTCAGTCCCAAGAACATCCTGCTGATGTGCATAAGCCCAGCTTGGCTCCACAGAGTGTCACACTCAGAAATGTGTGCAAGGACGTCATTATTGTCATTAGCTCCCCTGTGTCATTCACCGTTTACTGCCAATGCCTGGAACAGTGCCTGGGACACAGAGGCACTCGGCACATTTTATAACATGAGCGCGTGGATGGGCAGGTGAGATAAGAAAGTCTCATGGCTGTGAAAGATGCTCATGCAATGGGCTGAATGCAGGAGTCGTATAAATGTCCTCCAGCCAGTTTTTCTGTTCTCACCCACTTACGCCTCCACACACACAGACCCGCGGAGTAGGAGCACAAGCGCACATCTGGGCAGTCGCAGGGCACACTCCAGCACTGCTGTGGGTGCAGCAAGTGCTCAACCTTTCTGTCACCTCGGCATCGGTGTGCAATACCAGTTTCGCTTCTCACATCAGAAGCAGCGGCTAGTCCCCCTTGGCATGGTTCCAGTTCTGCATGCCATCTGGATGTCTCAAGCTGGTGACCAGAAATAACTCAGGGGCAGGCCAGCTGGTGGCGTGGTGGTTGAGGCAGCTGGACCCCACATGGCCAACTGTGTGGTTCAAGGTTTGGACCCAGCGGCTTGAAAAACATGTCAGGCACTTCCCTTGTCTCTCTTCAGGGAATGAACATGCCCTCTAGCAAATTAACTAGTAATTAATAATAACAACAACAACAACAACTTAGGGGCATCTCTCCCATCTAGCAGACTAGGCTCCCCTCCTTTCTGCCACTTTCTTCAAGCAGACATTTGGGCATTTGCCTCCAACCCTGAAGTCCTTTGCATGGACACCCTGTTCCTTTACACGTATTGCCAGGTGCCTCTCGCTCTCTCCCTCTCTGCCTGA